TAGACCACTCCTCACAAGCAAGGGAACTGACTCTCTGTTCACCTTAGAAACAATTTTGACCCTGGAAAACAGATTCATGAGTAGGAACAAGGGACTGGATGGGAGGATCAGCAAAGCCCACGTAGATGCTGTGAATGTGTGGGATTTTCTGGTTTCAGGTCAGCACGGATGGACGTAATGATTGCTTGAGGCTTTCTGTTTAGAAGTGCTGGTTCCAGTTTGCCCCTCCCCAGCTCCCAGCATTGCTGCTGACCGTTCACGTACGGCGTGCACCTCTTATCTGCAGGGTGGGACAGCATGCCCTGAGCAGCCCAGCCCCTGTGTCCCACTACAGCCTTGCAGCTCCTCTGGCCTGACAAGCACTTACAGACCCCTATCCCCAACCCTTTTTACTGCAGGCAGCAATCTGGGGCAGGTCCTGAAGTAGCTGGGAAACAATTCTGTACCTTCCGGGATTTGTGCAAATTAAGCCATCAAGTGAAACATTGTATTGGTTTGTCCTTTCTTTTTGACACGCCATAAATCGAACAGCCTGAATGCACTCCTCTTGACTTTTGATATTACGTACATGTGTAGCCTTGCTAAGTTCCAGGTGTCTTTGCCAAAACGTTAGCAGGAGGACTAAGCAGATCAGATGTGTCATCCCACACCAAAAGGTGACCTGGGAATGGTGGGAATTCTGCAGGTACAAAAAGCTTTACCCTTTGAGCCATGTACTTTTATTCATATAAACAAATTATTGAAATGGCTCTGCAAGATATTACCATCAGCGTATGAAGAGGGGGCTCAGAGAGTCAGTTTGGCAACTGGCATGGAGCCCTGACCTGTGATCATTTCTACCCTCCCACCTAAGCTCACACATAGCATAAATATACGATGCCATGTTTCAGTGCAGAGATCATTAAAGCGCAAAACTGTATTTTAGGAGGGTTGTTTTCATTCTTTCCCTAAATAGAAGATTGTCTCCAGAGATAATAGGATACAACCCTCTGCTAGAGTAGTTTTTCCTATGCTTTACAGATACTGAGCTCTTCTTCCCTAAGGGCATCACAAGGTAGCCAGTTAAAAGCAAAGGCATCTATCCAGAGGAAACGTTGGCAGTGTTGTGTTTGAATGGTGCTAGGAACTCTGCTCTTATTATCAAACCATCACAATATCATCAATAGCTGGAAAACGTAGATGTTATACTCCTAATCCAGGCTCCTGTTAAAACCAATTCACTCAGAGATACACAGAAGCTGTGCCATTTCCAGCAGGCATTTTACAGCCCCACAGCAAGCTCATTAATACCCACCTGACAAGCATGCATACAGTGCAGCATTTCATTATCAAGGTGGAGTCTCTTACACTCCTATACCTCTGAGAACAGCACTGATGAGGAATGGACGACAGATGTCTAGGCAGTGGACAGTATATATATAAACATGTGACAAAAGCCTAAGAGGTGATTTGGTCTCTCCCCAGCTATACTGTATTTGCCATGGATGAGTGAGGGTTAAGCATGTTCTATTTTCAGACGTATAATGCCTGCAGCCATGTGCCCATTTCTCATGATGTCTCTAAGCAGCCAGGCACAGCCAGCTCAGGATCTGTCACTCCAAGTTTTTGCCCAGGTCACTGCTCTGCTGCCAGGTGCCTACTGCCCTGGCTTTGTTACCTAGCTTTACTCTCAAGCTCTGCTTGTGAGAGGAAAACGGCACTTTCCCAGTAGGAATTTACTGATGGAGTGTAAGAGATGGAACAGGCTCAGATGCAATAAAAGGAGAGCAAGCTCTGGACGATCTGCAAAGCTGATCCTCTCCCATTTCTACCAGCCACCTCTGCTCCACACCTCTCTGCCTTCTCACTCACTACCTTTTCTCATGGCAAAGGCTGTGCCAGGAATCCATACATTCTTCTACAGGTGCAAGAGAGCTACACGAATGAAGTGAATTAGCTGCAGCCTTCGTAACCACATTGTGTCATGCCACTTAGCCTTGGCTGTCACAGAGAAAATTAATGGAGTGTAAATCCCTGTTTGGAAGTGCAGAGCATCTCCAGCTTCTCCCTGTAACCCCTTCACTCCCTTTGAAAATGACATGAGATTGAGATCTCCCCCAGAGAATTGCAGCTGGACATTTTGGGTCATGATAGAAAGAAGTGGAGCATCCTCACAGCCAAGCTGCCTGGCTGACAGTTTCAGAGTGAGCTGTGAGACTTCCAAGAGGATCCGAGTCCTGAGACAAAAGCCTTCTAGAAACAATCTTCTTTTAAAGTTATTGTATGGCTTGGCTACAAAGATAAGGCACCAGATGGCTTGGGAAGAAATTTTAAGAGAGAGTTGTGCCGGTATGCCTGGAAGGATCTTGAGAGTTTACGTTTACTGTAGAGTATTTCTTTGGAGATGAATGTTTGTCAGGCTCATCAGTTTTAATTACCCAAAATGCACGTTGTTCCTAAATGCAGAAGGTCAAGAGGAGGAGTTTTTCTTCCTGAAGGGAGGACAACTAGCAAGAATCCTTTCCTTTAACTTTGTAAGTAGCAGACTGAATTGTGGAGGCTTACATTAAGCAGTTTTCATTCCAAATGATATCCTAAAGCTCTTTCTTTCATTGATGAATTATTAATTGTGCAAGAAGGTATTTCATTTTGTCTGTTTCCAGCCCTATGGAGTAAACAGCTAATTCTGTCAACTTCTGAGCATGCAAAAACATGGATCAGCCCTCAGAATTCCCTAGACCTTTACACCAAGTCTTTGATATTTGTATGCAAGGAAAGACAAACTTGGGTAGGATTACACTCCATGAGGATGCCAGGAGAAAGAAGCACTGTGGCTGTAGGAGTTAGTTAGCAACCTGAAAGAATTTGTCACAAATAGTGCTTTGACATATCCTCTTCCTTCTAAAACCAAGCACGATCAGTTTGCAGTGTGAATTACCACTACATACAGTAGAATCACAGAATCATAGGGGTTGGAAGGGACCTCCAGAGATCATCAAATCCAACCCCCCTGCCAAAGCAGGTTCCCTACACCAGGTTGCACAAGTAGGCGTCTTGAATATCTCCAGAGAAGGAGACTCTACAACTTCCCTGGGCAGGGACTGAATTTGATGACCCAGGCAGTTAGCACTCCCAGAATGTCTCTTTTCCAGCCAGAAGTGCTACCTAGAAATGGTTAGAGGGTTTGGCCCTTCCTAATAATCACAGTCATGGGAGCTGCTCACAGTCTGGAGGCAGATGGCAAAACCAAGGAGATGTGTATGTGGATAGTTTGCCTCCTATGCATGCAGCTATGGCAGCTCTGTTGAGGACTTTCTTGTTCTATGACCCATATCATATTTTTCAGGCCTCTATACTTGCTTTATACACTAGATTATAAGTAATATTACTGAATGTTGGTGATAGGAATCAGGCTCGAGTTTTAAGCCAGCTGTTTCCATGTTTCTTTCAGCTTAACTTTTAAATATCCCTGACATTCCCACTCAGAATTTTTAAAAGGTGGAAGCATGACTTGGAAATCACTGTAATGTGAATGGCTTTGTTGACTTAACTGACATTGTTTTGACATGACAGGGCCTACTGAGGAACCAAGACCCCTTTGTGCTAACTGCAGTACAAACACAGGACTGAAAATGAAGCCGGTATCAGAGTTCGCCTGCCTTATCACACTCAGTTAATGCATTACTCCACGCTAGCTCACCAGCAGACTGGCATTTGTTACAGGAACAGGACTAGCTTGGACAAAGTGGCAGCATTTTTTTACTAAACTGTTTTCATAGCAGGTTTCTGCCTGCAGCTCTTTGTAACTCAAAGCCTTATTCAGGATAGATAATTGTCCAAACCTGAGCCTTTTCACCAACCAACAAGTTAGGCTTTTGTGTTCATACAACGCCAGGATGGGGAGATGTTAGACCTTGGCTGAGAGCCCTGGACCCATCGTAGCTCATGTGTTGGCATCTCTCAGCACTCACAAGTGAACCAAACACCATGACAGCTAAAACATCACCAATGATGTGTAGTACTGGGCTCATGAAAACAAACTTGTGCGTAAACTGTTTGATTCTGTGAATCAATGAAATCCTCAGAACAGTGAGAATGTAATTCTGTAGCCCGAGCTATGAATATATAAAACCATCTGGTTTAGAGCAGCAGCATCTGATTGACTGCAAGAAATTTGACTGAGCACCACTATGAATGGAAAATAGGCCTAGAGCCAGGAGTCAGCATCTGACAATCTGACATGCTTTTACCAAGAATATCAGGAAAGACCCAGAGTCACCACAGCTCTGCTCCTCTTGCAGCATTGTAACAGTTCAGACCCCAAACTGTCTCCATGTCCTTCTATCTTGCAGCTGTTCCCAAGCTGCTCTCCTACAATCTTCTGCACAGTGCAAAGAATGAAAGAGGAGCTTCTGCATTGCTGAAACATACAAGAACTACTGCCCTGTTAGGGGCCACCTCCAGGACATGCCAGTGGTGGCAGCATGAGAAAGTGGTAAACCTACAGCAGTGCCTCACCTGAGCACCAGTGCATCTTCCAGAGATGTGCAGCTGGGTGAGCCATACCAGCACTGATGTCTTTGTGCTCCTCTGCTGAGCTGCTCCAAGAAAAGAGAGGTCCAGGACTTGCCTGAGGAGAGACAATACCAATATAAGACTCACTCTTTTGCAGATGCAGTGTTTGTGTTGGAAAGCTCAGCCTTGTGCCACCCGACTGTCTGACACTGATACCAAGTGTGACAGCTTAGCTTGTAGCAAGCATCCAGAAATGATGTGGCTAGGGAAGCCTGAACACAAATTCTGATAACAAATAAAACCCATAGTCTCGGTGGCTTTCAAATGCAGCAGCAATAAGATTGCCAATGGCAGTGAGCTTTTAGCAAAAAGATCTGTGAGATCTTTTGGTGCTCAAAGCTATAACTACTTCTGTCAAGGACAGAAATCTCATTCACTTTTTTTCTCTTTCCCTGAGATTTTCTCATGTCCTCTTGTCCTTCCTCCAGGCCACTTACAGTCTACTCAGGAGGCATCTTCCAGTGCACAGAAACAACCAGCTTATCGATATCTTCTCCTTTCTACATCCACTGAAAATCTATGAAAATAAGACAATGCATGAGTAGCATTTTAATTTAATTCAATTTGTGCTTACTTGGCAGAATCCTAGATATTTTGCAAGCAATCTATTCAACCCAGCAAAAAGCTTCCAGGAGAACAGGCATGAGTACGTGATACAGTGACATGGATGCATAGTGCCAGTTTTCATTTTTTCCTTCTGAAATGCTTTAGAAGTTTGCACTTCCCTATCCAAGCCATTTAGCAAAAGACTGAGTAACTTATTTCTTGAACTCAGGAAAAATGCACAAATGCAAACGGCCTCATACTGCTGCTGAAGGAGCCTAGAGTTCCCTGCAATCATGGGCTCAATTCCTGACATTGTGCCACCACAACCAACCCCTGGCCCTGGGGGTGTATGAATGGAATGGCAATTGGAAAAATTCACAGATTTTGCAAGCAATTTTACTGGTTGAAACTTTGCCCAAGGGACCCGACTCTCCTGCTATGAGAAAGGAGGCTCCTTTTCGTTTATAGTTGAGGTCAGTGGAGGGACAGAGCAAGGAAGTTTGGATTGCAGCAATTTGTACCTTATCTTGTTTATAGATGTAAACAGAAGGTTTACGCTTCCATTGCTGAGCTCTCCTCCACCAAAAATATTCAATGCACAGAAGAGGAGCAGGATAGGCAATGCATGTGCATACTTCCTGAGCATGTTTTGAGAAGTACAGTTAAAGAATCTGGAGCTTCTGAAGGGTGTGGAAATTAGAACATCCTTGCAGTGATTGGAAACAAACTGGGAAAAAAAAGCAAAACAACAAGAAAACAATCTTCCTGCAGACTGCAGAGGTCATTCCAGGATCTCCATAACGTCTGGATGTAACTCAAGTCTCTTACGGACTTGGGTCAACACCCATTGAAGCCAGGAGTCCTTTCATGAGCGTTAGGTCACTCCCAGTTGCTTCTGTAGTCATTGCCCAGACTTTTCTCATTTTAGTCACAGTACCAGAGTTTTGTATCGTTTGAAAAGCTCCAAAGCAAGGGACATATGGAGCCTACAAAAGCATAGTTATTGTGCTAGCTAGCTCCAGTCCCATGCCAAGCAAATTATTCATGCACACTCTGTGGATAGGAGGCACAAGCTTTCATGTGGTTACATGGATAAAGGGAGGAGAATTTGGGCCACTGACTCAGCCTGTCAGCAATGTTTCCCCCTAAATACAGCCATGGAGCTGCAAAGCAGATTTCTCACAGCACTGGCGGTGGGGCAGTACTCTCTTTGGAAAACGTGACCCCTTATTTACATGCCACTGGAAATCAGTATCATGTAAGGGTGCTTCTAAAATCTGGTCTTTCGATTATAACCTTTCATGAAAGTGACTGATTGAACAAAAGCAGCTTAGAGATAGCATTTCAAACAAGAATCAGACGGCTTGTCTGGAACTTGAGCAATAGCAAATTGCCCAGTCTGCTAGAGGAATGCCCATGCTATGTGATGCTGCACTCCTGCATCCAAAAGGAAACCTGACATTCAACAGGTGTTCAGCTTCTTGGATAGTCTCGCGGAGAGAGAGTTTGAGGATACACTACAAAAAGGTGCTTTAAAAAGGTACTACTCTTCTATTTCAGTTCCATGACCAATTTGTTTTTTTTAGCTTGCTGTCAGCAGATGTTATTCAATTACCATTGCAGTGGTCACTGCAGAGTGTGGGGTACATTTCTGCTTCAGTCGTCTTTGTGTCCAGTCGGCAGGAATCCTAAACACCCAGAAAAGCATTTTTACTTTCCCTATAGGAATACTTCTTATTTGGCATTGCCATGCTGGAAAAAAAACCAGAAACAAATAAAAAAAACCCCAACAAACCAAAACAAAACAAACAAAAAAAAGCAACCAAAAACCAAAAAACAACCCAAAACAACCTTGTGATCCTTTCACAAAGGAATGAAGTTTACTGTATTATTTTAGTAATTGGAAATAGAAAAGCCAATCAGGTGGCTGTAGTTGTAAAATAAAGCCGAGAGTAGTTCAATTCAATCTTTGTTCTGTAATACTTACATAATTCAGATCTGGAGACAAAAGCACTAAGGTCATGGATTAACTGTGGCTTAAAGATGAAAATAGCCTGAGGAAGTAAGGATGACAAAGTAATTACTAGTGGGCAAATCATATGTTAATGGGCACGGGTATGGGAATGATTTAGTGTACGACATTTAATCAACGTAAATTGAAGAAATATAAAAGCAAATTCAACTTTAAAGGTCTCCATGGATATATATGGCTAGTCTCTATAATTGAAACAGATCTACAAAAAATTAAAACTGAAGTGACAATATATTAAAATAATTGATTTTGTCATCATCAAGACTGCTCTTGAAATAGAGATAGTTCTCATGAATAATGCTTTTAATGTTTGCTTCGCTCAGGGATATACAACACTAAAATCTGTGCCACTCATCTGAGACACCAAGCAACTGAAAAACACAATACATAAACCCATCCCAAGACACTTTTCAAGAACTGTGCATTTTTCTAGATAAAAAGTCATATCTCAGAGGTAAATCATTTTGGCAATTCACTTTGCTATAGCATTTGAGGTAAATCACATCAAAGCCTTCCTGTGAATACCCAAACAAATGAGTTGAAATCCATAATAAAAGCTGTGGCAGGGTCTGTATTCACCAGTGCTGGAGTTCACAAGGCACCAAGCAACGCTGCATTAGGATCCCCTGTTGCAGGAATTACAACTGGAACAATAATAATTACTGTGCCAAATATAATTGCAGAGATTGCAAGAGTGCAAAATGGAGAAAAATTAAAGAAGAAATACTGTGACAAGAATGCATGCAGTTGTTCCCACTATATACCAGAGGAGAAAATTAGATTTCTAAACACATGGCCGAATATTCATTTGCCAAAGTAACAACTCCTGCTTGCACAGAAATCAGCCTTGAGAGCCTGTGGGATGTTCAGAGCTGGGAACAACTGAACACATCCAAAGGGAACTGCAATCATTTATTTTTTAGTGTTTCTGCAATTAAAGACATAATACCTGCACTCATTATCATTGAGAGGAAAAGCACACATCAGTAAAAATGCACATGAGCTTAGGTCTGGAATCGAATGCCTCCAGCCACCTCCTTGAACGTGTTTTTCTCTCTGGTCAGGACCTACTGCAAGGAATTCATCTTGCCTTAATTCATAGCTCAGAGCGGAGAGTTTACAGAAACCTTTTGGTTCTTTGTAACAGTGTTAGCAAGAGCAGAAATAGAACCACTGTTTTGGGATAATGTGCCTTCTTTTCTACAAACATTTCACTGCAAGCTCTTAAGGAGGCAATAAAATCATGTTTAGTTCTATAAATCTTCTTTGTTTAGGTTCATAATGTACCAACTTAACACTTACATTCCCCACATTCAGAACACCTAGAAACTTCTATCAGTAACCCGTCCCAAAGCAAACATGCCATTTGATTCAAAGATCACCTCTTCTGAAGAAGCATGCAATCCTACTGAGTGTTTTTGCTGAGGAACTGGTGGCTCTGCACAATCCCTTCTTGAGAGACAGCAAGATGTTAATGCCTGCTGTAAGCAGTGCTCAGCCAAAGCAAGCACTGAAAGTGTTAACTCACAGGCAGGATAATGTCTTATTTGGTTAAAGTAAAAAGTAAATAAATACGGGATTTACTGCAATTTAAGGCTTAAGACAAGATCAGATGCCTGTCATCTCCAAGCACCTCTCAATCAGCAAAAAATAACCCTTCACAATATAGATTGTTATTTTTTGATGCAAGTTTCTTTTTTTTTTTCCTGAAGAAAATGGAGCCGTATATAATTCTCTACTGTCTGGAGGGAGGCGTAGTATAAACTCAGCTGAAAACTTATCCAGGGCTTCTGGCAAGTCCAGGCCAGGAGTGTGTATTTGTGCTGCTTACCAGATCTCCATAGTTCATGAATCCCAGATGATGTGCAGGGGGAATCTCTTTAAAGGGATGTAGGAAGCTGAAACTGTCATCAGCTAATGAAGAGGGCAGGGAAACGAAAATGGAGCAAAAGGGAAAGTGGGTCTAGATCTTTGCTCCAGCTTTGCAAGACAGAGAACTAGCTTGCATTCATAGGAATTGCTGCCTTGAGCCATCTGACTACGTGGTTAACTTTCTTCCCTTCTTTATTTCAGAAGAGAGGAATCAACTCGAACTTTACTTCCAGACCTAAGTCTTGATAACGAGCACAGCAACACAGTCCAAACGCAAACACTGGCTACTATTTATAAACAGTTTAGAAGGACACCATAAACCGCAGAGGGAGGGGAATTCCTTCCCTCTCCCTTAAGTTTGCTGCCTCAGTGCACATGTTGGCATGCTTGAATTTACTCTCTCACATACCAGGAGGCCTGCAGCAGCAGATGAACTTAAGGCTATGCACACAGTCTGTGGCGGAGCCAAGTGGCAGCGCTGCAGTGCACGATGGGGCCATGACCACAGCCAGCCCTCATCCTTCAGCACAGGACTCCAGCCTCCATTGGTGATCCTGATGGTGGGAATGGCCCTGGACAGGGGAGCCCAGGGGAAAGTCCTGACCCAGGTCAGCCGGCAGGGAGGAGATCTGCCCCCGAGGAAGCCAGGAAGAGCCTCCCAGGCCGCCTTTAGCCTTTCGTTTCCAGCTCGCTCCAAATGCTTCTCTTTGTAGGGTTCATAAAGAACAAATAAACAAGCCTCTCAACTTAGCTGCATACCATAGTAACATGAACAAATCATAAAGTGAGAAAATAACCCAAAATGGCCAACACCCAAGCCTCTGCAGGTTTTCACAACAATTCAGATTTATCAGAGCCTTTGACTTGAAATGCAGCTCTGCTCACATATACCAATAGCACTTTTCTACTTTCAGTTTTGAACCTTTGCCTTACAAGGACTGACCAGATGGCTAACCTTTGTTTTAAAGCATGTCATATGTAATAGCAAATGCTGGCCTTGCAATGCTTCCTTGTTTATATCCTTTTTGCCCCCAGATTACTTGGAAAATAATCCAGTAGATTAACTTTCCATTTCTGAGAAGCATTACCTAAATGGCAAAGCAGCACTGGTGTCATCAGGCAGATGATACAGTCACTTAGGTGCAGCTACTTGGTCAGCAGAGAAAACTCAGATGTTGGAAATATACATTACAGAATGAGCAAAAAAACCCCAAACACTTCCAGCACGTTCCTCATGCAGCTCTGGCATTTATGCTTTCATTTCATCCCTCTTTCAAATGCACCACACACACGCACAGAGGATCAAGGGAGCTTTTTGATGCTTAATAAAGCTAGAGCAGATCAGAGAGCTGGCTGGTTGTATTCTGCATGAGTGCAGAACAACACCAAGCTACTCACTGTAATAGACCCATCTTTTTCTCTCCCACCTGCAGACATCACAGCTCGCTCTTCATCCATTTGAATCACACCACTTTCGCAGCTGCAGAATATGAGTGCTGGGAACAAAAGTCAATTAAATGTGAGATGCAGAGAAGAAAAACTCACATCTCTTGCTCGTGACTATAAACAAAGGTTAATCCATATGCTCCCTTTTGCAGGTCAATTTTGAAGTGGAGGGAGATTTAACCATTGCAGACTTTTGCTTTTACCTTTATTTTCTTTTTCACATCTAATTTCTCCTTAAACCTCTTTAACAAAGTTCATTGGTGATCCCAGGAGCTGGGGTGTTGTCTTTTTATTTGTTTTCCATAGCCCTCAATAGAATTGTTTTCCATGAATTCATTTGGTTACTCCTGAACATAGGAGACTCACAGAGATTCAGCTGTAGAAAGGAATAGAAATTAGATTTTTTTCCTTTTTTTTTCCAGTGGTAATGGGTGCAGACAGACTTCTATCTGCAACCAGCTGCCTGAATCATTCCATTCCATTTCTTAGGAAATTATCTTCAAGCTTACCTAAAAGGGTCATTGAGTGGGTTGCTGGCTACGTCAGCGGCAGACTTGCTCTTCTAGGATACTATGGCTAAGTTACATTAATTTTTCACACATCCACTCTTACATTCAAAGAAAAATAAGAGAAAAGTACAAAGAGGAGAGACAGGTCTCAGGCATGGCATCCCCAGCTTTGGACAAAAGCAGAGCCCCCATAAATTGATGTGTGTCTCAGGGCCTCTGCAAATCAGCTCCAATAGGGACCTATTAACAGCAGGGGTGGCAAGGGAGAGAACCCAGAAAGCACCATGCCAGCATAAAGTCCCTGATATTACTGGCAAAGAAACCATTCAATTTATGGGCTTTGGATTAGGCTGGTTAGAGAAACAGCTGGAAAGGTGAGTGTCTTTAATTAAATGGATGATAATTTACGGACTACATCGGATGCCTCAATGTAAAAAATAAACTGTTTATTAATAATGGTTTTAAGGCTCAGTTCCTGTTTTTAGCAAAATAAATTTAAGTAAGCAATCCCAGCTGAACTTCTGGAGAGAAGCAGCTTACTGGAAAAATTAAACAACCTAAAAAACAAAAAAGAGAGAGAGAGAAAATGAGCTACTCAGAACTTAATAGTGTTCATTTGCCACCACCAAGTTCTTAGAAGAAACCACATGCAACCCAGCTCTCTCACTTCAGACACTTCAAGGGACCACTACCAAAAGGCATAATCTTCCTGTGGAGGTGAATCTGGAGTCTCCAAAATTCCCTTACTTGACATTGTAAGCATATTTTACACATGAACCTATGTATACTTATTACTGATGCACAGCATCTGGGGACTTTTCCCCAACAAAGAATCTGATAGCTGAAATCTTCCTAGTTCAAATTAACAACTCTTCAAAACACAGTGCACAGGACAGAAAGGTCAGATATTAAACTCCATTTTTTTTTGCTGGAGAAGGATCACTTCCTTGCAATACTTCAAATTCCTTCTGGAACCAGAGGGGGCTGATTTAGTGTCAGACATGCAGGGGAACTTAGGTTCGCAAAGATGCAGATAGAAAATGTATGAGAATTTCCTTAATTCCTGGTGCCAAGGGAAGCAGGACATCTGGGGAGAATTCTGAGAATAGGTCTGTGCACCTCTTTCCATCCTTCAACAGATTTAGTTTTCTGTGCCCCAGCTCTTCCTTTTTAGCAAATGGCAAAAGCAGTACTTTTCTCCCTCATGAAGAAATATCAAGAAAGTGAAGTTGAAGCTCCAACAAGGAAGTGAGCTGAAAAAAGGAGACAGAGGTAGGAAAACTCAACGTGTCATCTCCCCTTCACTAGGCATCAGTGACTGCTAACATACTTGCTAGCAGAAATGTACAAAGAGAACATCAAAACAATTACCTTCATGTTAATCCGTGCTACCTTGAGCCTATATGGCATCATTGCTTCCTGTATATTGCCTTCTTTCTTTTTTACTTCCAGCAATAAAATGTTCATGCAGACTTGGAGGAGAACTTCAGACCTGAAAGTGACATTCAGCTCCAGCACCTTTTCTCAGCGATGCTGTGTCAAGCACTTGGTCACAGGGATCCGCTGAAAGCATACAGTTGAGAAACAGTCCCTGCGTGCTCCCTGCCATGCAACATGCCTGACATCTATAGCAGAAACACAAGGTTTTATCAGCATTTGGTGGAAGGTCATTATCCAAATATCTGTGTTCCAGGCAAATTTTGGGATCATGGAGGCATTGCATTGTGACATGAATCCAGCGTGTTTGCATTTTGGTTTTAAAGAGGCTCCTGTCCCGCTCCAGGGCAGAGATGAGGAATCTGGTGAGGTCGTCCAGGCTATGCCAACTCCCTGCACCTTGATGTCAGGTTTTGGAGGTTTATGCACTGGGAGCAACAGTCCCATTGACAGGAGCAGGAGTACGTGCCACAAGGTGCCAGGTATCCCCTCTGATGGTGACTGTCAGAGGTAGCCAGTCTGCCTTCTAGACTACATGAAGAAAGCTCAGTCTGCTGGCAAAACACAACAGCAATGTAATTCTGCTTAGAATGTTAGCAACCAAATAACCAAAATATGCATTATTTCACAATCCTCTCAGAGAGAGAGTGATGACAGAGCTCCAGGAATTCAGTCTTTCCTTCCTTAATGTACTTATCAGTAGAACATTTCACCTACCTCAGTTTTATGGTGTTTTTATCTCCCTTTCACTCCAGCTTTTTACCAGACTCCAGCCATGCTATAAGACAGAGCTGGAAAAAATAAGTGATTATGTAAATATATTGAGGAAATGCAATCAGTGACTACAAATAGCAAATACGTTATTCAGCTATTGCTTGTTCAACATTATGCTCAAGAAAAAAAATGAAAATTCTGCCCTTAGTTTATTTCATAACCTTAAGTCTAATATTAAGCATTTTGATGCACATTTCTGAAACTTCTGCTGAAGCCTAAGGAAAGATTCCCACCACTTTAGAGTTCAGAGCATCAGAACAACCAAAGTTTTCAAAATGACTTGCAGATATCCACTCTGTCACCATTAATAGGTGCACTCCCATTTCATGGAGGTTCATGTTCACTACTTTCCAGAAGTCAGGCACCTTTGGCTTGAGCAGAAATACATGTGCTTAGTGGAGATATGAGCCTTCCTTCCCCCTTGAAGGAAGTTCAAATTCATTTTCTCATACAAATTTTCTTTCTGATTTTGATCCAGCACCACTCAGCTGGAGCCCTGACCCATGTCACTGTGTCTGACTACAGACCAGAGTGCAGCATTGGCAGCCACGTCCTATCTTCATCTGAATATCAAAGTCTTCCTTTTTGTAACGTATCTTCAAACTGAGCAGATTCTACAATCTGGATCTTCAGATGACTTCACTACCAGTACACCTATACATCAGATTGGAGTATTAATGTCATAACTGAACCGCATAAATCCTGACAGGTTTCTAAAGCTTAGCTATCTTCCAACACCAAGCATGCTTTGAAGGCCCATGTTCCATTGCAACAATATATGCTTCCTAAAGTACCGTAGTGCTCAAATTTCCAATGTATTTTTAAATGATATAAAACTTTTTACGTGTCAAATTAGAACATGCACAGAAAGCTTCATGTGGACAATCTGCGTTTGACCACTCAGTTAGTATTCATTGC